GCCTGTGGAACAGTTTAAGCAAAGGCTTTATTTCCGTAGAGACTGATAAGACTTCAAATGATTCACTGAAAACAGTCCTGGCATCAGCACAGCAAAGCTGTTTGTGTATTTATCTCTCTTGACGCTGGGAAACAATCAAGATAAAGATGATAGCACATTTTGAAATGCAGCACAGAGACATAATGAGATTGCAGCTTCTTCAGGAACAAAACCAGACAAAATGCTTTTTTTCATTATTGGCTCCTTGTTTTATTCACTCACACCAAAAAAATAAAAGCCATCGTTTTCAATTAATGAAGCAGGGAATTGAGTCCGAGGTCTTGCTGGATTGATGGATTAACCATGATGGCTTGAGGGCCCAATCTCACACTGAGTCTGCACTGCAGTCTGTATGGCAGAGTTTCTCATTCAGGGCCTTGACCAGCCCCCTTCCCTCCACCACCTCCTGCCTCCAACTCATCCATCCATTCCTCTCATCCTAAGGTGAGCTGCTTCATGGCAGACTGCTATTAGTGGCAGTGGGGAGATAAAACTCTAAGTGTTGCTCCCAATTAGTGCATCAGTGACCGTTCGGTGCCTCCTCCACCACAAGGCCTGCGAGGAGGAAGGGAGGGAGGAGGAGATTGGAGCAAGGATGGCAGGAAAGCATAGAGTGGCATAAGGACGATGGGAATAAAAGCAAGAGAAGTACAGTAGCTAGATAAAGACAGGAGGAGTGAATGGGGGTGTAGAGGAAGGAGGGAGAGGGAGTAAAGTGGCTAAAAAATGGCTTAAGCATTCATGTTGAGTGGTGAGACAGGTTCTATTAACATTTAACAACGTTTGTGCAACTTGGTGTGGAGGTTAGGATGCAAATGAGGAGGAATTAAAATTGGCCAGAGGTTTGTCATTGATGGATTGCAGTCTGCCAGTACTCAGCGCTTCCTAGTGTCCATCACAGATGATTACTGTATAATTAAACCTTATTTCTGGACTTTCTGATGCATAATTACTTGTGTGGGAATGTAACCAAAGCCCCAGCAAAAATGCTTTAGCATTTAGCCTGGCACACTGCAGTCATTTCACAGAGCAGTGACAGATAGAGCTGTCTGATGATCACCAAAAGAACAGTCACTTTTAATAAGAGGTGGGGAAAAAATATTAGGCGACAGTGTGCTGATTATAGGAAAATCAGGCTTTCACATGGTAAAGTACTTTGTGAAATTTGCATAATTTATTCCAGCTTTACTCCCCTGTTCAACCACCTCTGTTTTTTTTTTCTTTTTTGCGAGATGTGGGCAATTTCCTCTCGTATTTGAATAGTTTGCACGTTTAAGACCATTTTAAGGAAAATGATCACTTAGCATATTTTAATTGTCGTGCAGAGAGGTGTGGGTCAAAGCTTATAGAATGAGGACCCTTTAAAGTGAAGAAGACACAATGGTGTTGTGGTAGATAACCTGGAGGTTTTCACACACGTGTCAAACCATACAAACTTTATCACACATGCTGTATTGTAAGAAAGCATGTAAACCTTTAAATTATGAATACAGCTAAAGACTTTCCATGGCTGCTGCGCCCCCCCATTCAGGGGCAGTTCTAGAGCATTGTAGATGGGGTGGCCATTCTGGGGCTTAGACTCAGAGAGGGGTGGCACATTTGAAATACATGTAAAAAGCAAATTAAATAATAGATTATTAATGATCAAATTGTTTATGGCTGGTGGCTGCT